AAGTAAGAAGAACGATGAGACCCTAGGGTGCAAGACCCAAAAGGTTCCCCGGGGATGGTTCATGTGTGAACCAGTGTGATTGACTATATTGTCCGTATGCGAGGCATGCATGATATTTGCTATGATGGTTTGACTTTAATTTATACCTTGTATATTTCTAATGTTGAGGTGTTGGGATATTTTTATAAATGATTTACTTATTATCTTGTACCTGTATTTAATTATAGAAAGCTTTCATTACTTATTAGTATGATTTGTGGAATGTTGGTTTTTAAAAGTTTGTAAATGCTTGAGAAAATGATTATCCGACTGAGCATGTAGTTGCTCATCCCTTATTAATATTTTCAGAGACTAGCATGCATCCTGGGGCATAAGTGATGGAATGCTTGTGGAAAATTGGATTAGAAAGAATCTCTTTTGGAGTTTTTTGTATTCACTTTTAGAACTTATGTAGAAATGTTAGCACTCAAGCATTGTATTTGAAAAGGTTGTCTTGAGGCATTTTTGGTGTACACTTGGTCATCCCATAGAGGGATTATTATTTTGGGTGTTGTAATGTAAAGTTATAACTTTTGGTACTAAGTTATAGTATATATTGGTGTTGAATGTATTCAGGTTTGGGAGGACTTCGTGGGCCTCTAATTGCCACCCCGGATTTAGTTGGATTATATTTTTGGATAGAGGTGTTTTGTGGATATTTAGTTAGTTTAAATTATGTTATGCTCTTACAGGGATGCTCTTACTAACTGGCTGGAAACCTAATTTTCAAAGGAAACTCTGCCGAAATTTTCAAAAAAAAAAAATTGATTTATTTCAATTAAAGAAATACTTTCCTAGATGTTTTTACAACATACCGGCATGTGTTTTTTTTAAAAATAAACAAAGTGTTTGTTTTAATCACATTTTTATGAAATTTGGGGCGTGACAAGTACTAACCCGCCTAGGTCGGCATCAGAAAAGTGAATGACCTCGGCGTCATGTTGGGGCCTCTTGGATGACTGCTCCTCACACTTGCCTTCATCCACCTTTATGGCTTCTGAGACCCTATGGAGGTTAGCTCGAAGGGAGTTATACGTCGGTCTCTCGACGGTGCAAGCGTGTGTGACTTCGATCATAGTTGCTACTTTATGAGGCGTGTCGGCCCCTTCCCCCATCAAGCCTCTAAGAGGTCTCCTTTCAATGAACTCCGCTAGATGCCCATCCCAGACCAGCTGCTCGAGGAAAGACTTGTATACCCTACAATCTTCAGTCAGATGTCCCACTTCCCAATGATAAGAGCACCGAGACGTGGAATCTCTCATGGAGGGATCTCCCTACATCTTCAGCGGCCATTTAAAGAAAGGCTTCCCTTTTATCTTATTCAACATCTTGTAAATGGGTTCCTTGAATTTTCGTATGCACCCCTTGAAAGGACAAGTGATTCGGAGGCGGGATGGGTGCCTCTCTCCTTATAAGTGGCTCCTTCTCCCTCTTCCTTAGCACTGGGACCCTATTCTCGGGCATTAGGGATTTCTCCTCCACCCGGGCATATTTGTTTATCCGAGCCATCAGGTATTTCATGTCTTCAGGGGCTCTCTTAGTAAGAGATCTATAGAGATTGGTGTCCTGGGACAGTCCCATCTGAAATGTTGTCGCAGTCATTGCCTCCGAATAGGCTTCGACCTCGTTGACTTCTTTCCAATACCTGACTGCGTACTACCGAAAGGACTCTCCACCCCTTCGTTTAAGTGTTAGCAATGCACCGATGTCTTTCAACCTTTTACTGCTGGTAATGAATCGAGCAGTGAAGAGCTCGATCTCTCTGGGGCCAAGTTCTTGTACCACTTCATTGCAGTGTCCCCCAAACTCATGAAAAAAATTTGGCACAGAAGCCTTTGGTCAGTGTCATAAATGGACATCAGTTGCTTGTATTATAGCCTCTCGGGATTTGTTCTCCCATCATAAACCTTGAATTGGGGGACTGTGAACTTTTTTGGCATCTCGGTCTCCCCGATCGCTCGAACGAATGGAGAAATGATTTGTTCATCCTTGTCTTCATCCCCCTCGGGTTTGGGTCTCTGGTGCTTGGCATTTAGGCCCGCTTAGAGGTCCCCTCAGGGTCTTCCTTCTCTAGGTCCCCTCACGGTGGACTCCGTATGGGACTCGGTTGCGGTGGCACCCCCAGATAGTCCATGAGGGAGGTCCCACTGGAACAGAACTACCCTATGGTGATTCCACTCCGATCCCTCCTCTGGTGGAAGCTTTCCTCAACTTCATGGGTTGCACCTCTCGGCCATGCGCCTGCGCAAGCTCCTCCCAGGGGAAGCCAACTTAACGCCCCTAGAATCGCCTCGACTGAAACTTCAGTCTTCGCGTTTACTATTTCGCCAACTAGCACTCCCCGATTGCTCGAAATCATTGAGCTGATGTTGTACCATGGCGTTATCTTTCTCAAGTTGCTTGATGCACTTTCTAGGGCTGTCCATGGGTTGGGCCGGGCTTGGCCCGTGAATTTTTTTTCTGGCCAGGCTTGAGTAGTATAGGCCCAAGTCCGTACTTAGGCGAGTGGCGGGCCAGTCCTAGCTTGGGTAGGGATAAGCTACCCGCAGCCTAGCCCGTCACCTATTGGGTAGGCTTGATTGTGCAGGCTTTGCGAGCCTATTTGGGCAGGCTTTGTTGGGCCTGTTGGAAGCGAACTATTTTAAGTTACGGTGGTCATTTAATTATAAAAATTGGTTGAACAAATTTAAAAAATTAAGTTGTAATAAGTAATTTAATGTAATATTGAACATATTCGTAGCATTGATAATCGATACAAATAAAATGGTTTCCAGTATTACCAATAAACATAACTAAAGAGGATTTATTAAAAGTAAAACATAAAAGAGAAGAAAATGAAAAGTAAGGGTTTGATAATATTATCCAAATTATATTGAAATAAATCTTATATTAAATAAGACTCTAGTGCATGTATGCAATTTCATTTGAAAATTTGGAAACTTGTCATCAATTAATGAAAATAGATAGAAATAAATAATAGTAAATTTAATTATTTTAACAATTCATTTTTATCTTTTAAAAGAAAGAATATGAAAGGCTTGACTATGTGTAATATTAATGAATTTTTATTAATATAAATTCCATATTAATAATGTTAGTATTGTGAGAATCAAGTTGTCCAATTAAAAGTTTAACATCAATCTAGTCTTATTAAAATGAGTTTTAAATTAAATAAGACTAGTATTATTTTTATATATTATGTTTAGGGTTAAAGTAGTCAATCAAAATTTTTTCTAAATAATGTACTTTTATTAGTAGTTTAAATATAGATATGTATCTTATATATATATGGTATGTGGGCTTCGAGCGTCAAGTAGGTGGGCGGGTATTGGCCCGGGCTTCGATTTTCAGGCCAGGCTTCGAGCCGAATAGTGGGTTTAGGGGTAAACCTAAGCTCTTTCTTAAAGGATATTGGGCTCGGGCTCGAGCGGGCCAACTATCGGGTTTATTGGGTTTTGGACCTATTTTTTTCGGGCCGAGTAACAGGACCCGTGGGTAACCCGGCCCATGAACACCCCTAGCGCTTTCCCATCCATTTTTCTGCCAATTCGACGATCTCATGAGCCAGGAGGCCTTGCCCCCTAAGGCCTTGATTAACGGGGAACATTCGTTGTGAGGCATGCTCGCCTCCATTTGACTGGCTCAAGGGGTCTAACTCTGTGACCGCTGGGAGCTGAGCAACCTCTGTATTCCTCACATGTAAACTCCCTACCCATCACCTTGGGATCGTGTGTTCACCATGATACAATCGCTACGAGGAAAAGCTCGTATGTTTCCTATAGACGATGTCAAATTGCACGGGAGATTTCCTGCAATAGATTGAGATAACAATCCACTCGATGATGAACCTGAAACCACCACAAAGTCAAAAAAGGGGTCGGATGAACACCCGACTTATCCCCTTCGAAACTTAAGTCCATGTAAGTTTGGAGGTTTATGCACAGTGTATTTCTTTTTCAGTTTTGTCTTGCATACCTTTGTTTATTTTTCTGATGAGTATTTATACCTGAATTAGTAATGAGTGCAAGGATAGGCAGTCCCATCTTGACACTTATAGATCCACACCCATACCCATGCATAATAAATGCTCTCCGCTCAGATCCTCATGCCTTTAATGATCAGGTGATAAGACAAGTGCTCGAGGCTACGCTGAGCACTTATGGCTATCCTTGGGGCAATCAAGTCCCTTTGATCGGCGCATGACACCTATTCCTGAGCCTTCAACATTCGGGGAACAGTAACTTGGTGCGCGCTGAGGGATCATACTCGGTGCAATAGCCATTAATGTTTCACCATCATGACTGCTGCTTTTGGGTCTTGAGAATGCAGGGACTCATTAATATCCCTATCTTAGTCACTCACATCTCATTAATAAGTTGTCGTGTCTTCTTAAACGTTGGTGTCAGTATATGTACTCAGCTCCTTCGAGCCATTACTCCTCGGCACCACTCCTCGACACCTTTTGAATTTCATAACGGCTATACCTTCACATGTGTCAATCTGGGGCTGCTCAACCGCCTAAAGTCCCAGCATATATATATATATATTTGGCCTTTCAACATCATTGTGATGCTCACGAGTCATGGCTCACAAAGTTGACAAGTTTGTAATCGTGAATAAATCAATCTTAAACACATTTGATAAATCATTCCGCTCCCTCAGGAAAGATACAGGCTGCATATATCTGTTAATTTCATGAGCTTCCAATGTCTTGGCTGCAAAATCCTGATTGATTCAAGCCTTTCTTTGAGAGCTAAATCACTTTTTCCACTCATGCTCTTCTACTTAAGATCAAATTGAAGCCACAATTATGCAATTTTTTTGGCCAAACCAATTCACAAAAAAGGTCTTACAAGAAAAATAAAGCAAGAATGAGGAGGAAGCTTGACATGGAATGTATAGAAGAATCCTTCAGAATGAAACAGTTCGGCTAATCTCTCCAATTCTGCTTTCTCTGACAGATGGGAAATGTTAATCCACTGTTTGATCTCTTGGTCCTGCGTTACAAAATTAACTCTTACATTGATAGCAGGGAAGGAAGCTTGACGAATCCCTCTCTCTTTTCTCCTATCAACTGAGCTCGTCCAAGGGTTCGCACAAAGAAGACGACATCTGTGGTGTGTGCTCGAAGAACGAAGAACAGGGCTTCTTCTTGTGGTAAGTTTCTGCAACAAGTTCTTCTGCCCCACCGTCAACATCGACAAGCTCTGGTCGATGGTTCCTCAGGATGTGAAAGACAAGGTCAATCAGAGTAATGTTCCGATGATTGATGTGACTCAGTTTGGGTACTTCAAGGTGCTTGGGAAGGGTGTCTTGCCCAGTGATCAGCCGATGGTTGTCAAGGCTAAGCTCATTTCCAAGATTGCCGAGAAGAAAATTAAGGAGGCCGGTGGTGTTGTGGTCCTCACTGCTTAGGTCTGGTTTATTATTATTCGATTTGTCTGTTAGGGTTTTTGAAGGTTTACTATGTTTTGGAATGCTTTGGAGATGTTATCCTTTCGCTTTAATTAATCTCAACTTGCCTTTCTTTATTATAGATCTGTCCATTTTCCTAAATTTGTTGATTTATTAATGGGAAATGCGATGATATTATCACTTGTCTATATTATTGTGTAATCTAAAATTTCTCTATGTGGTGATATTGTCTATTGAATGAATTTTATTTTTTGTTGATTTGGTGGTTACGTTCCAGTAATTTTGGGTTGCTAATTTTTGATTCAATTTATGTCGATTGCTTTGCCATATTTTCTAGATGAGTTTAAATTTCTATTGATATGTTTTTGTGGTGGATTTAGTTATACTTGATGGTTTTGCTTTGTGTCTAAAATAAGGGTTATGGTGGTTAAGAGTAAGTATGGAGGGAACAATGCAGAAATGTGTTTTTCTGTTTTCATGTTTGGTTTGGATGTATTTATGTTTGTTTGAACATTTTGTCTGGTAATGTAGTTATACAAGTGGGGAAGAAGAGCGGGATAGGGCCTAATTGCTGAACCAGCTCTGCAGTTCATGTTTGAATGGCCGTTTGGAACTAGAACTTGTTTGCAATGCATTTGTTTGCTGATTGTCCTTTTGCTTTGGCCATTTGGGATAGACTAGCTGCGCTGATGTGTTAAAAGGAGGTTTTGAAATCAAGCATTTGTTGCTGCATTGATTTTTTTTCCAGTCAAGTCTTGGAGACTACTTTTATATTTTCAGTATATGTGAAAAATGTATAATTTTATTGAGATTATCCACCGATCCAAACATAGAATAGGATTAGTTTGGATTGAAATAGATAGAATCACAGGTAGAATGGTAAATTATTACAAAATTATTTATATAATCTATGGGGTCCAATGAATTACACATTTGCTTCTCAAACAAATGTTAGGATTGGATATATTTCAAGATTAAGGTTTTAAAATAGATGAGTAGATTTGGTTTGAATGAGTTAGGATATAAAAAAAGAAATCATACATTATCCAACCTCATTATCCCAAACACACCCCGATGAAGGTACCAAATTGGCATGCATCACCGATTAAAAACAGCCATCTCAATAAATAGTCAAATAAAATAAAAAAAAATGACAGGTCAGCCAAATGAGTTAACTCGGTTAACGGAGGTAACGGTTTTTATTTTCTCTTTCCTTCAACTTTTCTCTCCCCACTGCATGCCTATCGTTTCTGCTGACTTCATCCCTTCAGACGCCCTGCCATGGAAGATTTCTTCTCTTTGAATTTATTTACAACTTTTCAAACTTTACTCACCTACCCACCTCTCTCTCTCTCTAAGTTGCACCATCTGTCTTCCTCCATTTCTAATAGGTTTCACCAATAGCCATTTTTTTCCTGTGACATTTACACTGAGAAAAAAACATTACACACGTATTGTTCTCTCAAATTTTACATTTGAGTGCTGCCTTTGGTGGGTGGTGTTTAATGTGTCGGTTTTGGCCTTTGAAGGTATTGTGCATGTGTAGTCGTTGCGTGTCTTGTGTGCTGCCATGTGGGTTTTGTGTGCATATATAGTGTTTGTGTGGGTTAATGTGTGTCATGTGTGTGTGTATCAGCATGGAGGCATAGAAAAGATAAATTATTTTTTTTATTTAAAAAATTTAGTTGATCAATTTTATTATGACCTTAATTCTAATTGTTATTTTTATCTTTCAGCAATTATTTATTAAAATTTCAACAATGACATCAAGCAAAGGAAAATAAATTGTACAACTAGGTAGGTGTAATTTAAATTTTGTTTTGAGATACTCGGAATTCATTTTCGATTGCTATTTCTTTTTTCTTACAAATTGGTATGCATGGTTATGTAGTGATAATGATAAATATTATTTGCACCACTAAAATATTGTCTTTTATTTTTTTTGAATATGTGTAGATCAAAGTGGTGATGATGTTGAAGAGAACTATGTTTACGACAATATTGATGTCCCAAATAGTGTGTTAAGTAGTCAAAGTAATGAATTTGAGTTAAAAGTTGACATGGTTGTATATAGTGAAGAAGAAGCTTTTAATATATATAACAAATATGCATATTACAAAGGTTTCAACATTCGAAGAGATCAAAAGAGTTTTAAAAGAAACAGTGGTGAACTTATTCGTTGCAGCTTTGTGTGTTCAAAAGAAGGTTTAGGGAATTTACAAATCCTACTCAAGTGAAGAAGGTGGAGAGGTTAGAGACTAGGTGTGGTTGTTGGGCTCGAGCGGTGCCCAAAGTGGAAAATGGTGTTTATACAATTAGCCAATTAATCACCGAGCATAATCACCCATTTGTTGAACCAAACCAAAGACATTTAATAAGGTCTTCACGTACAATGGATATCATAAGGGTGTTATCAAATCCATGAGTGAAACTGGTATAAGAGCAACCAAGATACATATGCATACTTGTTAAATGAAGCATGTGGTTATCAAAATGTTGGATTTACTGAGCGTGATTGTCAAAATTTTATACAAGTTGAATGATCAAAAAAGATTGAAGTTGGTGATAGACAGAGTTTAATAAATTATTTCAAGCACAAGCAAGCAATAGAGCAAATATTTTTTTATATTATACAAGTCGATGAAGAGCATCGAATGACAAAATTTTTTTTGGAGAGATGGATTATCAAAATTGGATTATGAATGTTTTGGAGATGTAGTTTTTGACACCACCTACCGTACGAACAAATATAACATGATTTGTGTCCCATTTGTTGGGGTTAATCATCATTGAAAAAATATGTTATTTGGTCGTGCATTTTTATGTGAAGAGACAACACCTTCATTCGTTTGGTTGTTTGAGACTTTTCTTGAAGCTATGGATTATAAGGCACCCAAAACTATTTTTATTGATCAAGATCTTGTGATGGCAAATGTCATTATGAGACTGCTTCCTAATACACATCATCGCTTATGTTAGTGGCATATCTCAAAAAAATGTTGCTTCAAATGTTCTCTCTTGGGGCTATCCCACATTGAATAGCCTTAGGATGTGTGTGTTTTTAAATGAATACTATGGCCCTCACACTTTTAAGTGTAAGTAGTTGTAGTTATCCAATGTTCAAAAAAATAAAAAATAAAAAATAAAAAATACCTGATCCAAGTGTGTTCTAAGGTGACTCTGATTGTGGACTCGGTTTCATCCCTCTTTGGCCTTACCATAGGTTGGACGAGGACTTAGGGCCCAAGTGGGTATAGGCCAGAGCTAGTCCACATCAGATAGGTGTGTGTGTTTAAGTGGATGGTATAGCCCTCACACTTTTAACTGTGAGTGGTTGTCATTATTCTATTTTCAAACAAAAAAATATATATATATATTTCTCTCTTTTATTCTAGGATGAACAGACATTGTTGATTGGTTGAAAGTTTGGGGTCGTTGGGTATCGTCAGATACTTGAAGGGAAAAAGAAAATTATAATTGACCAAGTCCCTGCAGTTTAGTTACTCCTCATTTAACATACCAAAGGACAGAAGGAAAGCACAATGGAAGAGACATGGAATGATGGAATGCTATCAAAAATGTGATACGGAAAACGGTTTGATGCAACATGCTCAGAGAATTGACTGTACAACAGCTGCCTCAGAAGATCAGAAACTGTGTAATTTATCCAGACCAAGTATAGTCATACAAATAACATATGCTTTGTAACGTCGTTATACAGGGCAAACAGATTTATGCGGGGTTTGGGAACGGAAAAGAGAGAATTTCAAGGTTCTTGGGCATCTGACTGGAGTTTCATAATTTGGGAAACCACAAGCTTAGAGAGCTCACTGATTGCAGCTAGGACCGGATAATCCTCTGCCTCACCGTGCCTTGACCATCCTGATGTTTGTGAGCTTAACCTGGTGTATTCACCTGCAGCAACCTTTGTCTTCTTTGATGTGGCAATAACTTTCTCCAGATCTGATTTGCAACAATGGCCTTGGTTCCTGAAAAGAAAACAATACAAGATCAAGAAACTCGGTAATAAGATTTAATATTCCGCTATATAACTATATTGTACCTCATACCGCTCTGCTTAAACTGGCATACCTTTACCGAAAGTATATGGGATATAATTGCAAACTAGATGGGATAGCATGAGAAAGATGAGTATACTAACTGGAGATAGCTTCCCATTCTTCTCATCATAAAGTAGGTCCCTGATGGGAAAGTAAGCAGCTTTCTTGCAGAGCTCAAGAAGATCAGAACCAGTGTATCCATCACACAAGCCAGCTATATGGACATAGTCAATGCCATCTTCAACCTTCTCACTCTTCAAAATCACTCTCAGTATTTCAACCCTCTCTCTGTGATCAGGAATCCCAATCTCAAAGGCCTGAGGGAGCCGCCAAAGAATTGCTTCATCAAGCTCCGATGGACGATTCGTTGCAGCAAGCACCATTAAGCGGGCATTCTCCGCATAGACAACATCAGTCATCAAACCAACCGCTACCCAAACAAGAGAATCCAGTATTCAGGATGCTTTAGACAATAAATACCGCCACTCTACAGGAAACAGAGAGACAGAAAGAGAATGGATAACTCACAGTCAGTGGTGAAACCATCCCATAGTGCCATGAACTCAGTCTTCATGTTTGTTAGTGCTTCATGGTCTGTAGTCTTGCGCTGACCCAAAAAACTATCCACCTCATCAATGAATATAATAGCAGGCTGTAGTTTATAGGCCAAGCTAAATACAGCAGCCACTGCAAAAAGGTTTTGTAACATGTCAGTAAACAAATTGCAGCATTGGGCAGAAGGGATACCAAAGAAAGTAAGCACTTTTATCAAGTTCAGTCAATGAATCCACAGTGGGACGTCTCAATTCAAAGTGGACTTTTGGGGCAAAGCCTAGACCAAAGGTGCCTAATAGCGTAGGGAAACTAATCGGGTAGCGAATCCCATCCTCAGCTAAACCGAGCCCCGCTGGTAGCCTAATCGACTTGGCTGCCTTAGTTTCCTTTCCTTACTGTATTCCTTTCCTTATTAGCAGTCCATATTTCACACACATGCATCAATTTTTATTTTTTTTGGGGTAAATCACATGCATCAATTTTAAAATCCAAGAATTATTACCAAAAACCAAGGAGGTTGACTTTCTGTATGGTTCTTGAATACAAACTAGCTTATCGAGCTGAGATCCAGCCAAGCGCAAACAATTAACAAGCATAAAAATGTGCTTGTGCTTGCCTCATTTATCAACTAGTCGAACTAGAAAGAGCCTCCAACAGGTAAAACCTAAGTAGTTTGGTTTGATTTACAGCCCTAGGGAGAATAACTGAATAAGCACTGCGTACATGGACATTATTACAATAGAAACCCCACCTCAACAGGGTTGAAAATTATGTTTTTTTTAGCAAAAAGGCCATGAAGATGAGGTTGAAAATCAACTGACAATTCTGAAAGAAGGAAAAATTGGGAAAAAAAATAGAACCCTTGAACCAGTTCTTAAGCTAACTGCAACAACCAAAAAGTACAAAGGAGACACAATCATAACATCGAATCAAACCTAAAATCTAAGCCATGATTGTAATTTCCTCTCTATCTCTTAAGTGCACGGCCATTTTAATCACCCAAAAAACCTCTTTAGTAAGGCTTCCTTATACTTATACAACTATTTTATTATTTTAAGATGAAGTGTTTGGTTGGTTAAGTAGTTTTAGTCTCTCACTACTGCTGCCCCCATCTGCTGGCCCTGTGCATACAAAGGAGTGTCATTTATGATATGCTCTTCTAATTGATTGCCACTTGGTTACATATTTTTCTTTCAGGGTTGACTGTACTTCAATCTACCACTTTGCACTCTAAATGATATTTAAAAATTATCTTTTTGGAGTCCACAAGTGATGTTTGGAGTGCCAATATTGTTGCCCTCAAAGAAACTTTCAAAACTCATTCCGAAGCCTCTTTGATCGCTAACAATAAGATTTGAACCATCAACCCTCATCTCTCCATTTAGACGTCATGCCAATACTTAACCATTCTACTACAACAACTTTTCTCCTATTTAAAGCTTTTTAATAATGCTAGAGTAAACCAACATAGAGTTAACCAAAGTCATTGTAGTGCAATAGTTAAGTGCTTACATGACATCTAGAAAGGAAACACTGAAGTTGGAGCTTTAATCTTATAGAGGCAAAGTTTGATCCCACAATAAATTATCTCAATCTATCCAATCTTGGTGAAATGGTTATGAAGGTTTTTGTGGAATCATTCCTACTATTTTACCTCATCTTTGGGATAGAATACTAGTACCTGCTGATGTATATTTGTCAATAAACTTTCAAATTCCATTTGAAAGCCTTTTTGGTTGGTCCTTATCTCTCCCCTTACATAACATGTCAATATTCTACAATGCTATTACAACAAAAAACTGTATGCATGCTTCCCCCTTTTTCATCTTTCAAAATAGGAACTAGGATAAAACCAGCCAACTATTCTTATTTAATAAGAGGGTGGCACTTGCTTTTGGGAGAGAGAGACATGATAAATACCAAATAACTGTGTTTTCACACCAACACTTGCATGCATATGTTATCTCTCTCCTTGTATCAAAGACCATTTGGTTAATAACACTCTGGTTCATACCCAAAGAATTAAAATCTAAAAAACCCAATCATATGCTCTTGCAAATACAATTTCAATCAACCTATGGATAATTAACTATAGATGTGAAGAAGAGTGTCTGCACAACAATTATGTTTCTCATCCACCCGTTTGTTATATTCATATGTTTTCTAGGACATCACCATGCCGCACGTATCAATTACAGTTACTCTAAACTGCATTTATTATCTCTATTGCTAACACTAAAGCTGGGTAAAGTGAAAAGCACAGTTCTAAAATTGCTTCGAGAGGACTAAGTTGATTGAAGTTATCAGAATTCAAGATCATGGGCATAGCCAACAACAACAACTAAGAAAGCATGCCTTCAATTGTGAACTCATATCCTAAAGTATGCACCATACATCATTCTTTGTATCCTAGGAAGCACGGATACTCGCTGTTGTGTTGTTGACTTGCTACCTTTGTGGGTTTTTTTATTTTTTGTCTAGTTCTATGTTGCTAGCTGCCTTCGGGATTTTTTTTTGGTCTTGGTCATATGTATTGCTGCCTTCTGTGCTAGTGTGTTGCTGTCTGCTACTTTTAAATACTGAAAATTGCTTTCCTAAACTAGTTTCTGCCTTCAATTTAAGTAATGTTTGTTATGTCTTGGTTGTTTGTTATTATTAATGTTGTTATATATATAAAAATACATATAATTATTTTAATTAGCTGTATTCTCGCCGTACCCGTGTCATATATTTTGGAATTTTGCCGTATTGCTGTGTCCGTATCGTATTGGATACGATACCTATGTCCGTATCCGTGCTTTTTAGATTGTATCACTTGAAGAATTTGGGTGACACGAGATTTAGTTTTTTTTATTACTACTCAATGACAAAGAGATGAATATACGAATCACAAATTCACAGCACACTCAAAACAACTAAACCACACTATTCAAGGGAGAAATAATGCAAAGAAACAACCTCATATAAGAAGAGCAGTGAGAATCTGATCAACACTCACCAAGTTTTTGTGCATCACCAAATCATTTGCTCATTAGATTCGATATCCTTACATTAATGAAAACAGCTCCAGACTCTTTTGCAATAGCTTTAGCTAGCATAGTCTTTCCAGTGCCAGGGGGTCCATATAACAAGACCCCTTTTTTGGGGACCAAGGAACTTCCCATGAGAAAACAGTTCAGGTCTCCTTAGTGGAAGAATCACCAATTTATATAATGCTTGCTTGATGGTTTCCAAACCTCCTATAGAGTTGAACTCCACGTCAATGTGCTCAGGATTAATAACATCGCAGGCTATTACATCCTGTTGATGATTAAACAAAAGAAGAAATATGTAAATTCCTTGCTGCCTACACAATGTGATGTGATACCTATGAACATTAAGAACCCACCCCACCCCCATTCCCAGCAACCGTGCAACTGCAACCCCATAAAAATCCAAAATCTTAAAAGAAAAAATAACTAAATTCAATTCCGTGTGAAATGACGTATAATGCGAATCACACAAGATCTAAAAATTTTCATGAAGGTGTGATGACATGAAGGATGTATAAAACCGCACAATCTATTTCGCTCAAATCCGACTTGTATCAATTAAGATAAAGCATGCCAAGGCATCCCAAGGATTGTGAATCATTCGAAGCTAAAGACATAGTAGAAATAAATTGAAAGTATTAACAAGGGTATAAGGTTGGACGGATACCATTTCCTACGGAAAAGACTCATATTTCAACTGGTCAACAGGCAAGCCATTTCCCTGTGGCCACATATAGTATTTGGCTCTTTGCACATCCTCCTCTACTAAAAAGCATTGTATTTTCACTTCTACTGTACTTATTTGGTTCCATCTAGGTATACCAACCTCCGAAAAACTAATAAATAAAGCAATTACAAGCAAACTCATAAAAACTTCAAAAACACACAATGCCAACGAGGGTTTAGAAACAACAAAAATATATAAGATAATGGTATGGGTGGATGTATCAATTGAGAGAGAGAGACCTCATAGGGATTGGTTTGAATTAGAGGTCGGCCCAAACGCTTGGCGATTTCCTTCTTATGTTCTAGGGCTTTCTTTGAGGCTTCCTGATTAGGGTCGAGGTGTCGAAGCCCCGCAAACAACAAGAAGCAGCTGAGAGTGTCACTCGCTGCGTACAAAATCAGTTCTTGCAAGAACTTTGTCTCTGAACCTCCCTTCATTGCCTTAATAACTCTTTCTTCGCTGATTATATTTTTTGTGTGTATATAAATCAATTTGAAAACAAAAAGCAGGGTTTGGGGGTTAGAGACAGAGTTGAGGATGACCAGCGAATTCTTCCTTCATCTTGAAGATTAAGAAATAAAGAGAGTGATTTTCAAAAAGGAAAAGGTTCTTAAAGTACATAAATACCCTTTTACGCAATACGTATTTAAGTGCACCGTCTTATCCCAATATCTCAATATCAATAATGCTATTTGTAGACCATAGCATCTGGATATAGGGCAAACTCAATATCTCGATATGAAAAACTCAATGTTGTAATAATGGTTGTTTATGTTTAAACCAAGAGTTGGCCATCCTTAACCAAGATAATCAATTGCTCAATCCTCACACCTGATGCAGTTGTCTAAGGAGTATCTACTCTTGATCAAAATGAGTAGAAATCAAGGTGTGGGGGTGGACCTGGGTTGAACCCATGCAGCACAACCCAGTTGAACTGAACAATTAACCACCAGTTCTTTTTTTTCAAGTATTCAGGTTGATATGTTAAAACAGATTCAGTTGGCACCCACTCAGGAACATAATGATCCAAAATTGAATAACAGAAAATCTTAATTGGGTAATTTGTATCCTGTCTTACTTGCTTTTATTGTACTCGAACTCAATGTGAAGGCAATCCTCAATTCCAACTTACATCTGCAAGGGATAAATATTAGCAATGGAAAAATCATCCATTGATTAGCTTTTGCATAATGAATCACATAAATTTTTGATAAGAGAACAAAGGTACCATGTATATGGAGAATCAAATTAAGAACTGCTAGATATCTCTGAAAGAAAAAAAATATCTCCCCATTCCCTACTCAATCCCTCATCAACAAGAGGAGTGGCCTCATAATATAGACATGGTCACCGTTAGCATTGGTAAAAAAGTGACTTCATACTCACCATCAAAGTTGCCATGTGAATTTTCTTTTTTAACATTTAATGTACAGAGCTTTAATAACGCCTACATGCCATGCATGTATAAGCAGAATTGAATGTAAAAGAACTAACCTTAATACTGTTGTTAATTGGAGGAGGTGGAGTATAGTTGCGAACCTGATGCATAAAAAATCAAAAAAAAAAGGTGAGTATGAATAATAATGTTCATATATAGAAAGAGCAACTAAAATTGCAAATTGGTGCAAGGGAAACGTAGAAGAAAGGAAACTGAGTCAAAGAATTAGGAAAAAGATATTGAACCCAGAAATTAAATACAGGGTCATCTTTACTTCCTATTAATAGATGCACAGTTAGCAAGTAACTATTGTTTATACTGAAAGGTTTCGAATTCTAATATAAATATGTATACCATCTCTATGGTTTATTCTACACATTAATACACAAAAATATAATGCAAATTTACTAATGAAGGACTAATTATACAATTCCAAAACAAGCACTCTCAATACATATAATGCAGAAATTCTAAGCACCGTTGTTATAAAGCCATAGCACAGTAGTATCTTTTCTAATAAAACAGTGTGTGTCCTTAAAGTTCAGATGAACAATCAGTTAATAACTAACGAGTGCCTGCATGAGCAAACGCAAGGGTGTGTGTGTGAGAGAGAGAGGGTTACCACAAAGTCTAGGTATTCAACAATGCTTCCAGCATAGCCACGACTGATTGTCACCTTCAGGACATACCTGAAACAAGCACACTTTGGTAAACTCTACAAAGAATTACTAGGAAACCAAAGAATAAATCTCAATGAGCAGTAACCAAAATTATATTAGAATATGCAAATGCTCCAAATCAAGCCGAAAGAAATGCCAAAACCACTAAATTCTGTTGCAAATTTCGATACACAAGCAACTTACCGAAGTCGTTACCGAAGTCGGACATTCACTCCATTGTATGTCTCATATGGCATTTCAACTGTTGAAAATTCAAATGGATATGTTTTCCTTTCATATATTTCACCAGGAACATCCAATTCACGGACTGTTAACAAGAAATGTAAGGAGATTAAATATTACAAATTTCCTTTTTCTGAAACATGTCTCCTTTCTGCCATCAACAAAAAATGCTACTACATGACATTTAATATGGTGAAAAAAGTATGCAAGGGTGCGTGCGAATTCGCTTGCCGTTGCATGAGATAGTAAAATATCTGGTTTAGTTTACCATATCCTACACTTACTCAAATCAGATAAACTGTGAATAGACATCTGGGAGGTCAATGATATCAACTTAGGAGTTTACTCACCAAGTGAGGTGAAGTCATAGAAATTGCCTTTGTTGAAGTACATTTCTGCAAAGAGAAAAACAAGTGCTATAAAAACAATATAAGGGTCCCAAGAATTTTGATGAGAAGAGGCTGATATATTAAGTACACTCTTTCCTAATTGCTGATTATACAAGTGCTATTATGTAATTGAAGTGCTACCACCAACTCAACCAAGTCCAGAAGACCACAATTGATCCAACATTAGAGTTACTACCAGAATATGCCATGAAGGAGCAACAAGTTCTACACATCGCTCAGTGTAATTGTTCGTATGTACATGGACATTAACTACTAGTAAAGTATTAATTTTGGTCATCGAAGGTGAAAATATGATAGAAGTATAAGCAAAAAATTGTTACCCACCCCAAAAACCTACTTTTTCTACTCTTTCCTTTTCATTTAAAAAGTTTTGATAAGCGAAATTCTTATATCAAATAATGATACTATTAATTGTAGAGGATTAACACAATATTAGAGAGAAAACAGAGAGAGGTTAAAACTTAACTTAGCTTTCATACATTACTTGCATCTATAGTTAACTCACAATAATAAGAATTACACATACACCCTCTTACTATTGATAATTTACACATACTATGCTACTATTCTTAACACTCCCCCTCAAACTGGACTATATATATATCATATAATCCAAGTAAGGAACAAATCGCTGTAAGACGTGTACGACTCAATGCTTTGGTAAACATATCTGTAAGCTGATTTTCAGATTTCACAAATGGAGTTGTAATCTCCCCAGCTACTATCTTGTCCCGAATAAAGTGACAATCAACCTCAATATGCTTAGTTCTCTCGTGAAACACCGGATTGACAACGATATAAATAGCTGTCTGATTTTTACAGAACAACTGTAAAGAAAGTTGAACTGAAAACTCAATTTCTTGGAGGAAGTATACTAGCCAAGTCAACTAACTCGTCGTATGCGTCATTGCCCTATACTTAGCCTCAGCACTGGATCTTACTACCACGAATTGTTTCTTACTCTTCCATGAGACAATGTTACCTCCTAAGAAAGTACAATAACCGGTGGTTGATCTCCAATCAGAAGGAGAGTCAACCCAATTAGCATTTGAGAAACCTTCCACTCTAAGATGTCCATTAGCTCGATATAACAGTCCAAGTCCTGGAGCTCGTTTGAGATATCGTAGAATACGAGTAACTGCCTCCCAATGTGGTACTCTAGGACACCCCATGAACTGACTTACTATACTGACTGTATAAAAAATATCCAGTTGAGTAATAGTGAGATAATTGATCTTCCCAACCAATCTACGATATCGACCCGGATTCTCAAACAGTGCATCATCATCCATCAAAAGTTTCTGATTCGGATCCATAGGAACATCAAAAGGTCTGCCACCCAGCAAACCTGCTTCCTCTAACATGTCAAGTACATATTTCCTCTGAGATAAACAAATACCATGTTTAGATCGAATCACCTCAAACCCAAGAAATATTTGAGTTTTTCCAAATCCTTAATACGAAATTGATCCTGCAAGAATATTTTTAACTTGGCAATCCCCTCAGAATCATTTTCAGTAATCACAATATCATCTACATAAACCACCAATAGAACATATTCAACATCTGTCTGTCTATAAAACACTGAATGATCTGTCTGACATCGAAGAATACCAAACTCTAAAACTGCATCTGAAAACTTACCAAACCATGCTCTCGGTGACTGCTTCAAACCATACAAAGAGTTATTTAACCGACATACACTCTTACCATACTCCCCTTGAGTAGTAAACTCAGGTGGCTGCTCTATGTATGTCTCTTCAACCAAGTCACCATGTAAGAAGGTATTGTTAACATCTAACTGAAACAAAAGCCAATCAAGATTAACAGCCAAAGAAATCAAGATACGAACCGAAAAAATTTTGGCAACAAGAGAGAAGGTCTCCTCATAATCAACACCACAAGTCTGAGTAAAGTCTTTTGCAACAAGTCGGGCTTTGAGACGCTCCACAGAACCATTCGGATGAAATTTAACAACATACACCCAACGACAACTAACAGTTCGTTTACCAGGAGATAAAGGAACAAGATCCCAAGTCCCGTTATGATATAAGGCATCCATCTCCTCCTCCATAGCTTTTCTCCAACCCGGATCAGGTAATACATCCTGTAAATGCTTAGGAATAGATATCGTAGATAATTTGGAAGTAAAACAAGAGAAGGCATGAGACAAGGCATCATATGAAACAAAATGAGTAATGGGATGATTAGTAACACACGAACGAATACCCTTTCGAAGAGCAATAGGTAAAGAGTCTAAATTACCTGATAAACCAGGATCAGAAGGCGGCAAGGAAGATGGTACGGACACCTTAGTCGATGGTCGAAGACGCTGAGAATAAACACGAAGAGGTAAAGTAGACGGTAACACAGTAAGAAGCGGAATATCTAAAGATGAGGGAAGAGATGGTGGTACAAGAGGTGACCCAAAGTCCAGATCCAAAGGCTGAGAAGGTTTTGAAAAATATAGAACAGATTCCTCAAATGTGACATTGGCACTAATAAAGTATTTTCGCAAAGAAGGACTGTAGCAACGATACTCCTTCTGTGTGCGGGAATAACCAAGAAATACACATTTAGTAGCGTGACGATTAAGTTTATCAAACCTAAGACCCAAATTGTGAACATAACAGACACATCCAAAAACTTTAGGAGATAGGAAAAATAAGGACTTATCAAGAAAAATAACATAATATAGACTTTGTTCATCTAACACAGAGGATGGCATACGATTAATAAGGTAACAAACAGTAAGAACCGCATCACTCTAAAAATATCAGAGAATATTCATCTAAAATAACAGGACACGGGTGACCTCCAACAAATGATGGTTCTTACGTTCAGCAACACCGTTTTGTGGAGATATGTAAGTACAGAAAGTCTGATGAATAATGTCAGTTCTACTTAGATAAGCTAAAAAAGGATCAGATTCATGTTCCCGAACATTATCAGAACGTAAAATATGTATACGACAATCATACTGAGTTTTGATTTCTTTACGAAATATCTCAAATATAGAGAATAATTAAGACCGAACTTTCATCAAAAACAACCAAGTCACACGAGAATACTCATCCATAAAAGACACAAAATATGAATATTTATTAGATGAAATATTCTTTATTGGACCCCATACATCAGAATATACCAACTCAAATGGACTAGACACACGATTATTGACTCTAGACTGAAATGACACATGGTGATGCTTACTAAGTTGACAAGCTTCACAAGACAAAGACGGCACACAAATAAGACTGAGAACTTGGCGCTTCAGATTCTAGAGAGAGGGATGTCCAAGACAAAAATGCCATTGAAAAGGAGTAAACAAGGTCTGTAGCGCCCGAGTAGTGGAATCAAAATCAAAGTAATATAGGCCACCAACTTCATGCCCCGTACCAATCTTCCTCTTCGTCTTGAGATCCTATAAGACACAATAAGAGAGATAAAAGGTTACAAAACAATCGAAAGAACGGGTAATCTTACTAATGGAAAGTAAACTAAAAGGAAACTGAGGAACAAATAACACGGACGATAGGGACATATCAAGACTCAAGTGAATAGTCCCCAGATCTGAAACTTTAGAACAAGTACCATTAGCAAAAGTAACACTACATATGGAAGTAACAGACTGATAAGTAGAAAAAATATTAGACGCACCAGTCATGTAGTCAGAAGCGCCAGAGTCTATGATCCAGGGACTGCAGGTGGAGGACAATAAACAAGTGGAAGCAGTACCTGACTAGACAAAAGTAGCAGTGGAGGAAGATGGAATAGACTGTTGTTGGGACAGGAACTGGGCATACTCCTCTCGACCCAGCGTAATAGTAACTGACCCAATGTCTAGTGGATCTGACCGAGGTATGGAAGCAACAACCGAGGTGTCATCCTGATAAGAAGTCTGATTAGCAGCACCATAAGGTTTTCCATGTAAATCTCAATAGAAGTCAACAGTGTGTCCTCTACGACCACAGTGAGTACAAGAACGAGATCCACTACGACCCCCACGACCACCCGCACGACCTCCTCGACCACTACATCCACAGCGATGACCATCACCATGGCTACTAGAAACCACAAGAGCTGAGCAATCAATGGAGGCACCATGATCAATGCCTGAAGGAGTAGACAGTGTAGCACACTATAAACGAGAGAAAACCTCAGGCAGTGATGGAAGACTAGAATCACCCAAAATCTGAGAACGAATAGCCTCATATTCAGGTTTCAATCCTACCAAAAACCTAACAACATTCAGGTCCTCATGTTGCTTTTACCAAACTGTTGCATCAGTAGTAAACGGATGATAGGTCTTCATCTCCCCATAGACTCCCCAAACATGACAGTAATAATCCGCAAGGCTTAAGAGTACCCTACTCCAACTGGAAGTACTCCTTGCATACCTCATACGTACGGGTAAAATTACCTGTACCAGAATGCATAGTGGTTAAGTGATCTCATATCTCCTTGGCAGTGTCAAGGTAGAATAAAGCAAAACTAATACTAGGCTCAATGCTATTCAATAGTAAAGACATAATTTGAGCGTCCTCTTGTTCTTACTAATCATACCCAGGAGTATCTTCCTTGAATTTAGGATCCACCAAATATTTCTTAAATCTTTTATCTCAAAGAAATACTTGAGCGGATCGGGACCATAAAGTCTAATTGGTCCCATGGAGTTTAACAGAGGTAATGGAACCGTTGATAAGAATGGGGGGTGACAAAGACGGAGTAAGAGACCTGGTATCTTGCTTGGGTTCCATTACAGTGCAGCAAATATGAAACAAGGAGTGCTGCAATGCTGAACCACAAAAAAAAAGGCTGCTAGAAGACTGAATCAGACTGGTTGGGCTTGCTGGACCACTGAACCGGGAAGAATAGGCTAGCTGGACTACTAAACCATACTAGAGAAGCCCACTTGAGGACTGAACCGGACTAGAGTGACCCACTGGAGCACTGTACCGGTCTGGTCTGGTTTGGATCTTGGATTAGGGTCTAGTTCTGGGTCTGGATCTGGACTTAGATCCTTCACCCAAACCCGTAAACTAATCCAGTTGGCAATGGGTCTTCTCCTTCACTGGTTAGGGTTTGTACCAAACCCTATTCCTTCACTGTTGAACACCACCACAACACCGAACACCATCACACCACAACACCGAACACCACCACAACACCACTACAAGGCAAACGACACCACCAATCGACTGCTCCACCAAGATTGACT